GTCGGCCATCGTTACGCGATGCAGCCTTCACCATCACCACCACCTCATCTCGCGACGTGACGCTTCCCCGCCCTCCCCTTCGCCCAACCCGCGCTTCCCCGCGTCCGCCCGTCTTCTGTCCACCCCCCTCCCGCTGGGGGCCAATAACTGTGCCAAAGACTGTGCCAAATACTGTGCCAGAGGCCGTGCCGAGGGCCGCCGAGCCTTGGATTCGTACGCAATTGGTGGCGGCACGGGCTGCGCCCGCGGGCGCCGTGGCTGAAACATCATCCGCTACTGGTGTCGTCACAGCTTGTCTGGGCCAATTTTGAACGAATTGTTTTGGAATGTTTTGGAGGGGGAGGAGGAGGAGGACGAGGAGGAGGAGGAGGAGGAGGAGGAGAGGGGGGAGGAGATGGGGGAGGAGGAGGTGGAGGAGGTTAAGGGGGGAGGCATCGGCCTGCCACTGATTGCAACCATAGGTGCACCGAGGCCCGCAGAGCATCTGACCCGGCTGCCATCGGTGGAGCCATGCTCTGCGCCGTGGCACACTCGGCCGCGGAACAGATACGGGTTGCGCAATAGATGGCTCCCTCGGCCGCGGAACTTCAAGGCGGCCTGTGGTTGATCGGGCATATAGTTGGCGCGTTCAGCCGACGAACTTACAGAACATGCGATGTTGATTTCGCCATAGGTCGTGCCCTTGGCCCCCACAAGTTACAACGGCTTGATAAGGATTTGCGATTGGCTTGGCCGCCGCCGGTCACACGGTCTTGCTGGCATTTGCGCCAGAAGTTGCGCCCCCGTCCGCCGAAGCCCAATCAGTCAGTCGAATAATTGGTTACGCCATGCGTTGCGCCCACGGTCGCCGAAACCCAACCCTTGGCGCTTGGATGTGACGTTGGTTGTGTCCCTGGCCAACGAGAGGGAACACATGTTGGCAGTGGTTGTGCCACATGTTGCGCAGTTGGCCGTCGACGCGTACAAGGTCTTGCGAGCGGCTGTATCATAGTTTGCGCCGTAGGCCGCCGAAGCTAAATACGCCATGCGAACGATCGATTGCGCCACAGGTTGCGCCATTGGCAGCCGAAACCTAAAACTTCATGCACACGGTTGCGTCATAGGTATTGCCATCGACAGTTGAAATAGAAATCACGTTGCCGTTGAATGCGCCATACACCGCGCCTCGGCGGCCGAAACTGAAGACGGTATGCGACGTGGTGCGCCATAGGTTGTGCGTTCAGCCGCGGAAACATGGAATCCTGCCAGTGAACGCGCCCAGTCTAGTATCGTCCAGTCCCCCGTCGAACGCAGCTCAGAACAGTCCAGTCCCCTCCAGCCCAGTTCAGTCAGCCAGTGAGTACGACATACTCCTCGAAAATAGTTATGGCTTCACCAAGTGCAGAACACAACCAAACAAACAAGCAACTGAGACCTGAACACTCACTTGTTTGTCCAATGCCTTGTTCCGCTCAAATAGTTGCCCAGTTTGTCGTTTGATTGGCGCCTCACCTGTGCAGCAAACCTCAGGATGGACAAAGTGTGCCAGTTTCGTACACATTCGCCTTGTTGATAAACCATGGCGCGTTGCTATTGTGCACGGTATGTTACGCTTCCGGTGTTTTCCATTTTATTTGAATAGATGTTCTTCTTGTACACATTGTGTTTACATCACCCTCACACCACGAATCCCCCTTGTTGCTTCGTCGCTGCTATACAGCCTCGCTGCGTGCCACTACTTGCCCAAAGCACACGTCGTAGTCCTCCCATGGCAGCGTTTCTGTTACATTGCAGCGATGGTGCTTAAGTCCGCCATGACTCCTTCGCAACTGCCTTCTATTTAAGGCATGGTCACATCGTGGCCCCATGGCTTCACCAAAGCTACATGTAATGTTTATCTAAGCTACGCGCGCTGTAGCAATTCCAAGCCTAATGCGCGCGCAAGAGCAACCATATGCTTATGCGACAGTTGCGTCTTATGGAAATTCATCGCATAAGCCAGCACCTATGAGTCATAGTTTGCGCCAGCCTTGAGTCTTAGAGTAACGGTTTTCGTATGGCCAGGATGATGCCGTATGTGGCCAGAGTTTGTTTGATTTTTCTCAGTCCCACGGCTTGGCTAAACGGCCAGCGTGTTTGCCGCAGGACGGCTTCGAGAAGACCAGGAGCATGCCGTACGGCATTGCATGAGAGCGCGGTGACACTCTTCTCTAGACGCGTATTGTGTTGCCGGCGCCTCGTCGGAAAAGTGATTCTTCCATTCCCAAAACATCAAGGGGAGTTGCACGTGTGTTTTGGTGAAGATGTTTTGTGTGCCGCATTTCCAGTCGCCGCCTATGGTTTCCTATTGGTCCCTCCCCCTGGACCTGTGTATCACATTTTCTGGCCGGGCCTTGGTTTCCTATGGTTTTTCATAGTGTCGCCCTACCTCTGGCCCTGGGTCCCGCACGTTGCGATCGCCGCGTGGCTTCCTATCGCAGGCCCAGAGGTTGACACCAACACCAAGATCGGTGGTATGCCT